AAACGTCAGACCAAACTAACACCAATAACTACTACTGATGATTAATCAAATGGTTGTATATAACTAACTAAATCCCGAGTCATTTTGGAAATCCGGGATAATGGTATTTATGTGACATGTCCAGGGAAAGGAGAGATTAGCGTGTGAGGTGGAATTGCATAGTTAAAGATATTGGAAACACAGGAAATGAGGAAAGATAATTATTTAAATGACAGTGAAAGAAAAGGAAGAGGCTAAACACAGCTAAGTTGTGGAAAAAAAAAGAAGAGGTTTAAGATATAAAAAGTAACGTGCAGAAAAAAACAAAAAAAAAGAAAACGCTTAAATAAAAGAAAAAGAATAAATACGGAATCCAGAAAAAAAGAAAAATAAACTTTTAGATTTATAGAATCCAGAAAGGAAGAAAATGATCAAAATGAAATTTCATACACAAAAATGAAAGTAAAGGCAACAGGAGGAAAAGAAATTAGGAATGTTTAGCAAGAACAATGAATATATAGATAGATGGATATATAAATGAACAGATAAATAGTTGAATAGATATATGAATGGATAGACAGATTAGTACATAGATAGATTGATAGATAAGAATCTAAGATGGCTGGACAGATGGACGGATGGACAAGACCGTCTGGGATGGATAGTCGGACAAGACAGTCTGAGACGGACGGACGGATGGATGGATGGATGGACGGACGGACAGGACAGTCTGAGACGGACGGACGGACAGATGGATGGGTGGAGGAATAGACGGACGGGCAGGACAGTCTGAGACGGACAGACGGATAGATAAAGGGATAGACGGACGGACAGGACAGTCTGAGACGGACGGACGGTTGGATGGATGGAGGGATAGACGGACAAGACAGTCTGAGACGGACGGACAGATGGATGGATGGAGGGATAGACGGACGGACAAGACAGTCTGAGACGGACGGACGGATGGATGGATGGAGGGATAGACGGACAAGACAGTCTGAGACGGACGGACGGATGGATGGATGGAGGGAGAGACGGACGGAGAAGACAATCTGAGACGGACGGACGGATGGATGGATGGAGGGATAGACGGACGGACAAGACAGCCTGAGACGGACGGACGGACGGATGGATGGTTGGATGGATAGACGGCCGGCCGGATAAGAGAGTGTGGGATGGATGGTTGGACTAGGCAGTCTGGGATCGATGGATGGATGGAGGAACAGACAGATGGACAAGACAGTCTGGGATGGATGGATTGATGAATGGAAAAAAAAAAGTCTGTGTTGGATGGCTGGCTGGACGGACGGACAAACGGACAAGACAGTCTGTGATGAATGCACGAAAAGGAAAGACAAAATATTTTTCAACCAAAAACAAGAATAAATCATGAAAGTGTTCGGGAAAAGATAAGTTATTAGTATAAAAAAAAAAAAAAATTTCAGTGCTATGAAGCGGAAGAAGTGACAAAAAAGCGACACTTCCTGTTTTAATCTAATCCAGGCAAAGTTCGGATATGTTCAGTTTTGCAAACATTTTTTTTCTTTTTAACTTTTGAATTTATTTGTGTTAAAGAACAATACTTCTATATTTCATTTAATGAAATAGGTCTTGCCTTCATGGCATTTTATTTCTTTTCAACATATAATTACTTTCCCTCCACCTGACTGTTTAGTATAGTTTCGTTTATCCGGGCAGTGACAGCAGAGGCTGGAAGACTAAAAATAACAAAAAAATATTTTGCAACCTAGAGATTGAAGCATAAAATCCTCTGGGAGATTGATTTTCAAATGGGTCAGCCTATGCATAATAGTAGACAAGACTTTACGGTGGTAAACAAGAAAATAATGTGTCAGATAATCTATTTTACTCTAGTCGACACCACCGATTAAATATAATGAAAAGTGAGAAATTGGATAAATATTATGTCGACAGCATTAGCGAACGTGAGGGGAACAGTTTCAAAGGACCTAGAAAAATGGCTAAACGAACTGGAGATAAAGGTGACAAGGAAAATCAGAGTGGAACAATAAAATCTACAAAAATTTAAATCTTGCACGAATGTCACTTGTCTTGAGAAAAACGGATGTACTGGTATTTAATACATCAAGACATATTTCATAGGATTTATACTAAACTGTTTAATTCTTCATATTAACTAAACAACTAACGAAAAATTTCAAGCACGATCGACATCATATTACACACATACTCACAAACAAAAATTGTACATATTTTACACTGTTTACCTCATGGGTGTTTTTAGTAGGACCCAGGTGAAAATGCAGCATTGTGGTTGATGTTTGATCGAATGGAGAAAGATGGATTCTTGTGGTAATTCAGAAAATTATTAGGATGAATGAATCGAGAACCGGATTAGCTAGGTGTAGGATAGTAAGTATTGATGACCAGCCTTTTCTCAATCCATCTTCGGCTCTGTGCCATATTAACATCCATAAATGTTAAAATAACCAAAATGGTTGCGTTTCATTTGTTTTAACTTGTTGATTATGATTACAGTGGTTTTTTTTTCTCTCAAGAGAAGCGACGTTTGTACAAAAACTTATAATTTTTGTATGTTTTTATAATTGGATACAATTTCTAAGCATCACTTGCAGACAGGCATAACGTCGAAATATTGTTGAATAGTCAAAAAGTCTTTTCTTTTTTTTAACCTATTCCCCGGCGTAGACGTGTATATACGTCTCACTGAAACGTGGACGAATAAAGCACGTCCAAAACATAACGCTCAAAAAACAATCTCCAGACGTGTTTTGTACGTCGATCTTGAATCTTTTTATGCCCGTCTGCGCTTGAAACGATTCCATTGGCCAACTCATACGTCTGGTAGAAATGTTAGCCAACGTTCGGGTACTTCAAGATGACTCAGTTTCTTAGTTTCTGTATTAAAAACAAATAAAAAAAAATCGTCTGAAAATGAAACAGTTTTTTTTCTAAAATTATTGGCGGTGAAGGGGTCAAATCGCGCTCTTCTCTGGGTTGAAAAATATTGAAATAGTTATGTCAATTATTTAGCTTAATAATAATAATAAATTTGAACGTTGAGAATAAGAGATTATATTTTACAAAGAATCAATTGTTCGAAAAGGAAATGAAAAGTAACTTAAAAGAAAACGGACGAATTATAGAGCTTAGCGAAGTACAGAGTATATGATCAACGTACCACAAACACATGGAAAATTAATGAAGATATAACCGATAAAGAATTAATTTCTAGCCCCTTATTTAAAACAGATAAAAAAACTGAAAGAACATACAAAATAACACGACTCCTGACTAGAAATAAAGTATAAAAAACAAAGAGCAGTAATAAAAGCCACACACACACCCATATCCACCCCCCACATATATATATATATATATATATATATATATATATATATATATATATATATATATATATATATATATATATATTTGTATGTGTATGTCTGTGTATAAAAAGGATACTGTGAGCTTTTATGAACCTTCTCTCTTCCGTATCTCTCATTTTTTTACAAAATATACTGATTGCTACTTCTGCCCTCATCTTTTCTACTCGATTTTAACATCATACAAAACATTCTCTTGACTAAGTGTTTCTAGTCCCTACTCACTCTTACAGACACGTGTACACACATACAAACACAAACACACACTCTCTCTCTCTCTCTCTCTCTCTCTCTCTCACTCTCACACACACACACACACACACACACAAAGCACCCTTCCCACTCTCTTCCGGACTTCAAATACTTTGTTCTTAATGTTCTTTTTATGTCTATATTTCTTATAATTTTTCTTAGTTTTGCTATTTCATATCTCACCTACTTTTCCTATCTGTTATACCCTCTTGACCCAGTCTTAAATGCGGTCGTCTTTCTGCTTTTCCCCGCTTGTACTAATATCGACATCATGTCTCGCTGTGGGTCCGCAAAGGAGAAGATAGAAAACCGTTGAAGTAAGAAGATCCACATAATGACCTCCCCCAGACTTTCCAGGCATTGATTCTTTTCCATATCTCTTATCACCCACTTTCCACTTTTTTTTTTTTTTTTACTTACCCCATTGAGATACAATATAGAATTAACATTATCAATATCCTGTCTACAGGCAAAAAAAAGTAACATTCACCTCAAAATCATCTGCGATCGCCTCTTATATCCAAATATTTTTCAAGTGACAAAAAGTTTACACAAAGCTAAAATCTAAAACGAAAAATCTGATCACTTTTGACATTGCTAAATAGAGCGATTTCCTTAGCTTTGTCAGGCATAACGTCAGAGCTGTGTGTCTCATCTTCATTAAAGAAACCGTTAGAAATGAGACAACCTTTTAACGATGCCATTTACGCGTAAAATAGTTCAAATGAATTTCATTCATTTTCACAGCAGCGCTTGAAGTGCAATATTTTAATACCGTTAAAACCACCCCAATAGTTATTCGAAATCTGATTCAATCCAATTATATTAGTCCGCTGATAAACCATCAGTTACCTCCCCTTAAGATCTAGGAGGTATAAAAGTACCCTGTATTATCCGTCAATGGACGAGTAGTCAGAGTATAGTGCAATAAAGCTTTAGTATAAGTTTATTCATTGGTTCTGTTTTTACTATAATTAGAGTATTTCTTTTCAGTCTTCGAAATTTTTACATTTCCTCACTTTATACAAACTAATGTGTCTTCTACTTACAGTCCCTTTCTTCACCGCCATCCAAAGTTCCTTTCTTCACCCCCATCCAAAGTTCCTTTCTTCACCGCAATCCAAAGTTTCTTTCTTCACCCTCACCCAAAGTTCCTTTCTTCACCCCCATCCAAAGTTTCTTTCTTCAAACCCATCCAAAGTTTCTTTTCTTCACCCCATCCAAAGTTCCTTTCTTCACCCCATCCAAAGTTCCTTTCTTCAACCCCATCCAAAGTTCCTTTCTTCACCGCAATCCAAAGTTTTCTTTCTTCACCCCCATCCAAAGTTCCTTTCTTCACCCCCCACCCAGAGTTCCTTGTTCACCCCCATCCAAAGTTTCTTTCTTCAACCCCAAATCCTTTCTGGTTTTATTTCATCACCCCCATCCAAAGTTCCTTTCTTCACTATCTAAAAGTTCCTTTCTTCACCGCCATCCAAAGTTCCTTTTTTTTTTTCCATCCAATGTTCATTTCTTCACCACCATCCAAAGTTCCTTTCTTCACCGCCATCCAAAGTTTCTTTCTTCACCCCATCCAAAGTTCCTTTCTTTTACCCCATCCAAAGTTCCTTTCTTCAACCCCATCCAAAGTTTCTTTCTTTTTATCTTCCAAAGTTTCTTTCTTCACCCCCTTCCAAAGTTCCTTTCTTCAACCCCATCCAAAGTTTCTTTCTTCACCCCCATCCCAAGTTTCTTTTCTTCACCCCATCCAAAGTTTCTTTCTTTTTTACCCATCCAAAGTTCCTTTCTTTTTTATCCCATCCAAAGTTCCTTTCTTCACACCATCCAAAGTTCCTTTGGTTTTATCTTCATCCAAAGTTTCTTTTCTTCACCCACTTCCAAAGTTCCTTTCTTCAACCCCATCCAAAGTTCCTTTCTTCACCGCCATCCAAAGTTCCTTTCTTCACCCCCTTCCCAAAGTTCCTTTCTTTTTATTTTCCCAAAGTTCCTTTCTTTTATCTTCCCCATTTCAAAGTTTCTTTTTTTCACCCCCATCCAAAGTTCCTTTCTTTTTTATATTCCAAAGTTCCTTTCTTTTATCTTCCAAAGTTCATTTCTTCACCCCCCATCCAAAGTTCCTTTCTTCACATCATTCAAAGTTCCTTTCTTCATCTTCCCAAAGTTTCTTTCTTCACCCCCATCCCAAAGTTCCTTCACCCCCATCCAAAGTTCCTTTCTTCACCGCCTTCCAAAGTTCCTTTCTTCACCCCCATCCAAAGTTCCTTTCTTTTTATCTTCATCCAAAGTTCCTTTCTTCACCCCCCTTCCCAAAGTTCCTTTTTTTATCTTCCCAATCCTTTGTTTTTTTTCTTCAAGTTCCTTTCGGTTTATCCAAAGTTCATTTCTTCACCCCCATTCCCAAAGTTCCTTTCTTCACACCATATTCCCAAAGTTCCTTTCTTTTTATCTTCCCAAAAGTTCCTTTCTTCACCCCCCATCCAAAGTTCCTTTCTTGTTTTATCTTCCCAAAGTTCCTTTCTTCACCGTTTTCTTCCCAAAGTTTCTTTTCTTCCCCCCAAAGTTTCTTTTGGTTTTTATATCCAAAGTTCCTTTCTTTTTATCTTCCCAAAGTTCCTTTCTTCACCGCCAAAAAAGTTCCTTTCTTCACCGCTTCCCAAAAGTTTCCTTTCTGGTTTTATCTTCCCAAAGTTCCTTTCTTTTTATCTTCCCATCCAAAGTTCCTTTCTTTTTATCTTCCCCAAAGTTCCTTTCTTCATCCCCCCCAAAGTTCCTTTCTTCACCGCCATCCAAAGTTCCTTTCTTCACCCCCATCTTCCCAAAGTTCCTTTCTTCACCGCCATAAAAAGTTCCTTTGTTGTTTTATCTTCATCCAAAGTTTCTTTCTTCACCCCATCCAAAGTTCCTTTTGTTTTATATTCCCAAAGTTCCTTTCTTTTTATCCCCCCATCCAATGTTCCTTTCTTCACCGCAATCCAAAGTTCCTTTCTTTTATCCCATCCAAAGTTCCTTTCTTGTTTTATCTTCCAAAAGTTCCTTTCTTTTTTTATCCATCCAAAGTTCCTTTTTGTTTTAATCCAAAGTTCATTTCTTCACCCCTTCCCAAAGTTCCTTTCTTCACCCCCATCCCAAAGTTCCTTTCTTCACCCCATCCAAAAGTTTCTTTTTTTTTATCCCCATCTAAAGTTCCTTTCTTCACCCCCTTCCAAAAGTTCCTTTCTGGTTTTTATCTTCCCATCCAATTTCTTTTCTTCACCGCAATCCAAAGTTCATTTCTCGTTTTTCCATCCAAAGTTCCTTTCTTCACACCATCCCAAAGTTCCTTTCTTTTATCTTCCCAAAGTTTCTTTCTTCACCCCCATCCAAAAGTTTCTTTCTTCACCCCCATCCAAAGTTCCTTTCTTCACCCCATCCAAAGTTCCTTTCTTCACCCCCTTCCCAAAGTTCCTTTCTTCACACCATCCCAAAGTTCCTTTCTTTTATCCATCCCAATGTTCCTTTATTGTTTTATCTTCCAAAGTTCATTTCTTTTTATCCATCCAAAGTTCCTTTCTTCACACCATGCAAAGTTCCTTTCTTCACCGCCTTCCCAAAGTTTCTTTCTTCACCCCCATTCCAAAAGTTCCTTTCTTTTTATCCCCATCCAAAGTTCCTTTCTTGTTTTATATCCAAAGTTCCTTTCTTCACACCATCCCAAAGTTCCTTTCTTCACCACCATCCAAAGTTTCTTTTCTTTTATCTTCCCAAAGTTTCTTTCTTCACCCCCATCCCCAAAGTTCCTTTCTTCACCCCATCCAAAAGTTCCTTTCTTCACCGCAATCCAAAGTTCCTTTCTTCACCCCTTCCCAAAGTTCCTTTCTTCACATCATCCAAAGTTCCTTTCTTCACCGTTTTATCTTCCAAAGTTCCTTTCTTTTTATTTCCCAAAGTTTCTTTCTTTTATCCCATCCAAAGTTCCTTTCTTCACCCCCATCTTCCCAAAGTTCCTTTCTTTTTATTTTCCAAAAGTTCCTTTCTTCACCCCCCATCCAAAGTTCCTTTCTGGTTTTATCTTCCCAAAGTTCATTTCTTCACCCCTTCCAAAGTTCCTTTCTTTTTATCTTCCAAAGTTCCTTTCTTCATCTTCCATCCAAAGTTCCTTTCTTCACCCCCATCCAAAAGTTCCTTTCTTCACCCCCTTCCAAAGTTCCTTTCTTTTACCCCCCCAAAGTTCCTTTCTTCACACCATTTTCCCAAGTTCCTTTCTTCACCATCATCCAAAGTTCCTTTCTGGTTTTATCTTCCCAAAGTTCCTTTCTTTTTATCTTCCCAAAGTTTCCTTCTTTTATTTCATCCAAAGTTCCTTTCTTCACCCCTTCCAAAGTTCCTTTCTTTTTATCCCCCCAAAGTTCCTTTCTTCATCATCCAAAGTTCCTTTCTTTTATCTTCCCAAAGTTCCTTTCTTCACCCCCATCCAAAGTTCCTTTCTTCACATCATCCCAAAGTTCCTTTCTTCACCGCCATCCCAAAGTTTCTTTCTTTTATTTTCCAAAGTTCCTTTCTTCACCCCCTTCCAAAGTTCCTTTCTTCACCCCATCCCAAAGTTCCTTTCTTTTTATCATCCAAAGTTCCTTTCTTCACCCCCATCCAAAAGTTCCTTTCTTTTATCTTCCCAAAGTTCCTTTCTTCACCGCCATCCCAAAGTTTCCTTTCTTCACCCCCATTCCCAAAGTTCCTTTCTTCACCCCCCATCCAAAGTTCCTTTCTTTTATATTCATCCAATGTTCCTTTCTTTATCTTCCAAAGTTCCTTTCTTCACCTTCCATCCAAAGTTCCTTTCTTCACCCCCATCCAAAGTTCCTTTCTTCACCGCCATCCCAAGTTCCTTTCTTTTATCTTCCCAAAGTTTCTTTCTTTTATCCCATCCAAAGTTCCTTTCTTTTATCCCATCCAAAAGTTCCTTTCTTCCCCCATCCAATGTTTTATTTCTTTCACCCAATCCAAAGTTCCTTTCTTTTTATCTTCCCAAAGTTCCTTTTTTTTTATCCCATCCAAAGTTCCTTTCTTTTATCTTCCCAAAGTTCCTTTTCTTCACCGCAATCCAAAGTTCCTTTCTTTTTATCCCATCCAAAAGTTCCTTTCTTCACCCCATCCAAAGTTCCTTTCTTCACCCCTTCCAAAGTTCCTTTCTTCATCCCCCCAAAAAGTTCCTTTCTTCACCCCCCATCCAAAAGTTCCTTTCTTTTACTTCCAAAAGTTCCTTTCTTTTTTCATCCAAAGTTCCTTTCTGGTTTTATCATCCAAAGTTCCTTTCTTCACCCCCCCAAAGTTTCTTTCTTTTTATTTCCAAAGTTTCTTTCTTCACCCCCTTCCAAAGTTCCTTTCTTCACCCCCATCCAAAGTTCCTTTTCTTGTTTTATCCATCCAAAGTTCCTTTCTTTTTATCTTCCAAAGTTCCTTTCTTCACCCCCATCCAATGTTCCTTTATTCACCTTCCCAAAGTTCATTTCTTTTTATTTTCCCAAAGTTCCTTTCTTTTTATCTTCAAAGTTCCTTTCTTCACCGCCATCCAAAGTTCCTTTCTTCACCCCATCCAAAGTTCCTTTCTTCACCCCCATCCAAAGTTCCTTTCTTCACCCCATCCAAAGTTCCTTTCTTTTTACCATGCAAAAGTTCCTTTCTTCACCACCATCCAAAGTTTCTTTCTTCACCCCCATCCAAAGTTTCTTTCTTTTTATCTTCCAAAGTTCCTTTCTTCACCCCCATCCAAAGTTCCTTTCTTCACCGCAATCCAAAGTTCATTTCTTTTTATTTCATCCAAAGTTCCTTTCTTTTGTTTTATCATCCAAAGTTCCTTTCTTTTTATCCATCCAAAGTTTCTTTCTTTTATCCCCCCCAAAGTTTCTTTCTTTTTATCTTCCCAAAGTTCCTTTCTTCACCCCCCATCCAAAAGTTCCTTTCTTTTATCCCCATCCAAAGTTCCTTTCTTTTTATCTTCCAAAGTTCCTTTCTTCACCCCCATCCAATGTTCCTTTATTCACCGCAATCCAAAGTTCATTTCTTCACCCCCATCCAAAGTTCCTTTCTTCACACCATGCAAAGTTCCTTTCTTCACCGCCATCCAAAGTTTCTTTCTTCACCCCCATCCAAAGTTCCTTTCTTCACACCATGCAAAGTTCCTTTCTTTTTATTTTCCAATGTTCCTTTATTCACCATTTTCCAAAGTTCATTTCTTTTTTATTTCATCCAAAGTTCCTTTCTTCTTATTTTCCCAAAGTTCCTTTCTTCACCATATTCCAAAGTTTCTTTCTTCACCCCCCATCCAAAGTTTCTTTCTTTTACCCCCATCCAAAGTTCCTTTCTTCACCCCATCCAAAGTTCCTTTCTTTTTATCTTCCCAAAGTTCATTTCTTCACCCCATCCAAAGTTCCTTTCTTCACACCATGCAAAGTTCCTTTCTTCACCACCATCCAAAGTTTCTTTCTTTTTTACCCCATCCAAAGTTTCTTTCTTCACCCCATCCAAAGTTTCTTTCTTTTTATCTTCCCAAAGTTCCTTTCTTCACCCCATCCAAAGTTCCTTTCTTCACCCCCATCCAAAGTTCCTTTCTTTTTACCATGCAAAGTTCCTTTCTTCACCACCATCCAAAGTTTCTTTCTTCACCCCATCCAAAGTTTCTTTCTTCACCCCATCCAAAGTTCCTTTCTTCACCCCTTCCAAAAGTTCCTTTCTTTTATCCCCCCAAAGTTACTTTCTTCACACCATGCAAAGTTCCTTTCTTCACCCCATCCAATGTTCCTTTATTCACCGGTTTTATCCAAAGTTCATTTCTTCACCCCCATCCAAAGTTCCTTTTCACACCATGCAAAGTTCCTTTCTTTTACCACCATCCAAAGTTTCTTTCTTCACCCCATCCAAAGTTCCTTTCTTCACCCCATCCAAAGTTCATTTCTTCACCCCCATCCAAAGTTCCTTTCTTTTTACCATGCAAAGTTCCTTTCTTCACCACCATCCAAAGTTTCTTTTTTCACCCCCATCCAAAGTTCCTTTCTTTTTATTTTTAAAAGTTCCTTTCTTCACCCCCATCCAATGTTCCTTTCTTCACCGCAATCCAAAGTTCATTTCTTCACCCCCATCCAAAGTTCCTTTCTTCACCGCAATCCAAAGTTCATTTCTTCACCCCCATCCAAAGTTCCTTTCTTCACACCATGCAAAGTTCCTTTCTGGTTTTACCCCCCCAAAGTTCCTTTCTTCACACCATGCAAAGTTCCTTTCTTCACCACCATCCAAAGTTCCTTTCTTCACCCCCATCCAATGTTCCTTTCTTCACCCCCATCCAAAGTTCCTTTCTTCACCCCCATCCAAAGTTCCTTTCTTCACCCCCATCCAATGTTCCTTTCTTCACCGCAATCCAAAGTTCATTTCTTCACCCCCATCCAAAGTTCCTTTCTTCACACCATGCAAAGTTCCTTTCTTCACCGCCATCCAAAGTTTCTTTCTTCACCCCCATCCAAAGTTTCTTTCTTCACCGCAATCCAAAGTTCCTTTCTTCACCCCAATCCAAAGTTCCTTTCTTCGCCCCCATCCAAAGTTCCTTTCTTCACCCCCATCCAAAGTTCCTTTCTTCACACCATGCAAAGTTCCTTTCTTCACACCATCCAAAGTTCCTTTCTTCACCGCCATAAAAAGTTCCTTTCTTCACCGCCATCCAAATTTTCTTTCTTCATCCCCATCCAATGTTCCTTTCTTCACGGCAATCCAAAGTTCCTTTCTTCACCGCCATCCAAAGTTTCTTTCTTCACCCCCATCCAAAGTTCCTTTCTTCACCCCCATCCAAAGTTCCTTTCTTCACCCCCATCCAAAGTTTCTTTCTTCACCCCATCCAAAGTTCCTTTCTTCACCCCCATCCAAAGTTCCTTTCTTCACCGCCATAAAAAGTTCCTTTTTTCACCGCCATCCAAAGTTCCTTTCTTCACCCCCATCCAAAGTTCCTTTCTTCACCCCCATCCAAAGTTCCATTCTTCACCCCCATCCAAAGTTCCTTTCTTCACCGCCATCCAAAGATCCTTTCTTCACCCCCATCCAAAGATCCTTTCTTCACCCCCATCCAAAGTTCCTTTCTTTTCACCTCCTACATTTCTCCTCTTATTTTCTATAGTTCCTCTCTTGTCTCTTTCTACATTTCTATTCCCATCTGCATTTCACTTCTCTCCTATATTTACCTTCTAACCTACTATAGGCTCATTTCGAAGTGAAATTTCTTTCTCTCCTCCTATATTTCTCTTTTTCTCTCCTCCTACATTCCCCCTTTTCTCTCTTTCTACATTTCAGCTTTCTTTACTTTTCTACATTTTCCCTCCTTTCACACTTCACTACTTCTTTTACTCTTCTTTTTCTTTTTTAAACTTTCCTTTTTCTTCCTACAACCTGTATCGTTTTTTTTTCCCTTTCGACATCTCGCTTCTTCTCGCTTCTTCTCGCTTCCTACATTTCCTTACTCACAGACGAGAATCCCTTTTTTCCTCGTCTATATTTCCCATTTCATCACTTTGGCACGTCTTTTCGTGTAATGTCTGCATGTCAGTTCTTACTTTCAACATTTCGCTTTACGCAATTTGGAGTTACTGTCAAATCCCAGTGAAAAAATCTATTTTAATTCAATCACCAAAGTTAAACAGCCTAGATCTCGGTCACTACTTAAATGGGGGACCGCTTGGGAACACTAAGCGACCTCCTACAATCCGAAATCTATTTCGGCTTTAGATAACCGACAAAGGTTTGATAAACCATAACAACTAACTCAGCAATCAAAAGCAATTTAATATATTCTTTTTCTATTCTTATTTCTTTTAACAAATCATAAGTTTTATTCTTTGAAATATCTTTAGTGGACTGTAATATATTTTCCTTTCTAATTATATTCTATAAGTTTCTATGCCCTGTCTCTCTTTCACATATACACACATCTGCGCACGCGCAGATATTTGTTACCGTCGGTCGTCCATATTTTTTGTTTACTTTCATTAGTGATCTCTTTTTCTTTGGATAACATATTACGAGTAAAAAAAAAAAAAATAGAAAACGTCACCTATTTTAACTGGCGATATGTTTTTTACTCTTCTTTCCATTTTTTTTTTTTAACTTTCCTTCCCTCTTCATTCCTTATTTTACTCGACTTTAAGATAGCCTCTTTCTCATCACTGTGACCCTTTTTTAAACAATGTTACCACATATTCTGCAAGAATAGGCGATGCTTTAAGAGCATCCAAATGTTAGAAAGAATAGACGGCACTATATCAAGTGATACCCCCAACACACAACTCCAATAGATCGGAGTACTTTACCTAAATCACACTTAGTGAACTCAATCGGTGAACTTGGAGAATTCATATAAAAAATCTATTGTGAATTTCCCAGATGTTTTACATTATAATTTTTAAAATCTGTCAGTCATTCGAACCTTTTCTCTCCATCTCAGCTATTCCCCATCTCTTCCTTCCACCAAAACTTTTCATAGCTATTTTTATCGGTTTGAAAATATGTTTACGTGTTTCTTTTCAACTTTACATTTTACATGATTATTTCTTTTAACTTTTCGTTTGGTTCTTAATCATTTCAAATTGCAGGTTTATCATTCTCACTACACCCAACTATCCATAACTCAGCATTTAATTTCCTATTTCGTATTTACAGGCTGCCCCACAAACAAACAGGACATTTGGTGCAGTTCATTTAATTGTTGGAATTTTGTTATAGTCATTTGAAACAAAAGCAAAGGACAGAAATTTAGTAGCTTAAAGCAGAACAAAAACAGAAACGTTAGATGTGGTGTTCAAACTAAAGAACTCTAGCAAAAATTTCTTGGTATTTTTTCACTTCCCAAGTTGGATGTTCTTTCTTAAAGAGAACAATCACCTCACTTTGAAAATTTGATAACTGCAGCATCCTGGAACAACAAATGGCTAAAAATTTTATATGTTAGGTAAATTTTTGTTCATTCATATAGTAAAATATAAAGTTATTTTTTAAATAAACAATAAATTTTAGATTTACTGTATGATGAAAAAAATTAACTAGCATATGTTAGTAAATATTTTTTTATTATATCTATTTTTTTCTTTTTTAATTTAAACTAATCTAAAATTTATTTTATTTTATTTTAATTTTTTTTGTGGGTCACCCTGTATTTTTTTTATTTCATTTTTGAGACATACACACATTCTCATGTAAATCGTTTATTTTTTAATATCGTACTCTCTTAATTCTGTTATGATTCGCACTATCAACAGCTTTCGGGTTAAGGATCATCATCAAATGCCAAAAGCTATATAAACATGATATTAACATTGATTTTTTTTTTATTTTGCTTAATCTTTTAAATCTGTTCCATATAAATATTTTTGTTGTTTTTTTTTTTTTTGTTTTTTTTCCTTCTTGTAATTCTAGAATTTCTGACTTGAATTCTTAATATCAGCCGGCAATACATATTTTTTTATCTCTTCCTTTTGTCATGACCTTGATCCCTACCATCATCATCATCATCATCTTCACTATCGTCTTTAATATAATCACTATTATTAGGTTGGTGCAAAAATAAAGACGTAATAATCACTATTATTAGGTTGGTGCAAAAATAATGACGTAATAATGTCGTTTTTGACGTTAAAAAAAAATACATCAAAAACGACATTATTACGTCATTATTTTTGCACCAACCTATTATAATTTGTATATCATCTTTTAGATATTTTTTTTCTTTTTCGTCATCTTCCATCGTCATTTTCAGTTTTCAGCTGTTCCAAGTCCTAAGTCTTCTTTTTCTTTCATTATTCTCTTATTCGTACTCGCTACAATTTTTCTGTAGATTCATTTATCATCATCCTCAGCAGCAGTAGCAGCAGTAACTCTATTCATTTCTACGTCGTTACTACGTGGCTTAATCAAAATAGGAAAGGTACATCACTTTAGAACATTTCCAAGTTTATATAACTAACTTTATGCTAACTTTATCTTTCTACTCGAAACATTAAAATCCAAGATATGTGTAACATTTAAAGGTTTGGTTTGGTTTGCTTTACGGCATATCGACCTCAATGGCTTATTTAATGTCGACAGGATTTTTATTGCTGGTAATATTCTTCTTCCAAAAATGTATTGCTGGTATTAAATCCTATTTTTACACTTTCATGTTTTGAAGTGGGTCTTTATGTTGCCTGATTTACCCCATCTTGTCTTCGGATAACTTCGATTGAATAAATACAGGTTGCTGGAATATCGAACTGAACCCTTTATTTCGCTCGCTGGCATAGACTGTTCTAGTTCCACGTCTCTCTAAATTTTCCACTGCCTTGACCAGGTAAATAAATTTATAATTTATAAATTATTTATAATTTAATAATTTATAATTTATAAACTTAATGTCTTCAGCAACTATTTCTACCAGTGCTTATATTGCAATTATTGCTGTTATCATTCTATTTTCTCTGGCACTCCTTATTACTAGTTGCCATATTGTATTCATTTCTATGCTTAGTCGCCTCAGGAAATTTTTGTGGCCTAGCATATGTGCTGATTCGTTGTAATAAATATGGCCACAAAGATGAGGACAATAGTCTGAATAATGTAAATAGTAAACTTCTGTTATATCAGTAACTGCATTAATTCATTTTTTTTTTTAAAGAAAGTACTTTAAAGTAATAGAAGAAGATAGACTCTGTTACAGCTAAGCATGATGCTGTTTTTGCTCCATTCTAACTTAACACTGTTTGTGATCGTCTAGCTGGGTATGGATGCTAGTCAAATATAAATTCGCCAAAATTGAAAGAAATGAGGAATAATAATGCATCTTGAATGTTAAAATAATGAAATAAATGTATTCTTTAAAGTATGACAAACGACCGTTTTAGAAAGTTCCTGAAAGAAGGATATAATCGCTGACAAAGAAGAGGACGATATAACTCGTAAAAAAAAGGAAAGATGATAGAAAAAAGAGAAAAAATATAGAGCACCAAAGTGAAAGAGTTAAAGAGAGAAAGAATATAAAAATGAAAACGATAGAGAAGAAAAAAAAAAAGAAATGAGAAAGACAAAATATTTAGAGACAGGACCGAAGGAAAGTGAGTGAGAAAAATAGAGAAATATGATTTAAAGAGAGAAGAACAGAGAACGAAAATGAGTAAGAAAAAAACAGGGAGAAAAAGAGAATCGAAAAATGGTTAAACGGAGAGAAGAAAAGAATAGAGAAATGAGATTGGGAGAGAGAAAAGTAATCACATAGAAATGGGAATCATAGAGAATAGAAAGAAAAATAATACGGAAATAGGAGAGAAAAAAGAATTGAGAGTTAAAAAAAGATAGAGAAATGTTATTTCCAAAACTGTAATTAGAAAGTAAGAGGCAAAGAATCAAAGAAAAATAGTCCAGACAACCGAGATTTCATTTGAGGCACATTAGTCACACAGTCGTTCACAATGATAGCTCTGTATTTTATCTAAGCTACATAGAAAGATAGTTTTTGTTTTATCTCTATTTTTTGTAATGGTAGTAACTGGACTTCTATAACACGCAAATATTCAGATAATTCTTTCAAATAATGAATAGGCATGTAATTGAGGGTACTGCAAATTTTAGTAAAACTGAAACATTTTTTTTTAATCTGCTTTCTGAATATTTTACTGAATCTCACCAATCACAATGTAAACAAAACCAGTTTACTATTCAATTATTAGTCAAAAAAACTAGATAATCATGAAATAAACTCTATTCAAAAGTTAAAAAAAAAAATAGGCGGATGCACGCTATTCTTTCTTATTATCATTTATGTCATGTCTTTCAGCGCATGCGCCATCGTGCTTCACCATAACATCCTATGTTGTACTTCAAAACAATATTTGTTACGTACTATCCCTCTTTCTCCGTTCTGCAACCTAGTTAAACAAGCCCGTTAGGCAGATTACATTGTTTCTCTCTATACGCTTGCCTTCAATATGTCATGTGAGTATCAAATTTTGCAAGCCGTCTTTCCTCATTGTTAAACCTGATTCTAAATAAGAATTTTTTTATATATTTCTGAGATGAGGTATTGTAGCTACACTATTTACATTGTTCGGACAGTTGCCCTTATCTTTATTACCATATTCACAACGTTTCGCTCGTTGTAAGCTCCGGTCTTCTTCAGGTGATTGGGATTTCAAACCGAATCATTTATTTCGTCCACCAGGGTAGATTGTTCTAGTTCCACGTGCCATGCCTCTTCCGGATGTCTTAGTTATTTTCCCTTTAACTCACCTCCCCAAGTTTTGGTATTCAACTGATAACCCTTTGTGTCTACTCACTGGATCTAACCAACTTTATCCACTAAGCCATGTGGAAATCTATTTATGAATTTCTGAGACTTATAATCTAATGTCTCAGCAACCATTTTTACCAGTGCTCATATTGCGAATTTTGTTATTATTATTGCATTTGTATCAGAGCTTATATTGCAATTTTTTGTTGTTATTCATTGCTTTTCTCTATCACTCCTTATTACTGGTTCCCATACCGTATTCATTTCTATGCTTGGTAGACATATGTGTTGATTCCTTGAGTTTTCGTATTTTCCACTGATGCTCCCTGTCTATTATTTCAACCGCATCCTTAACTTGTATAAAAATACGTATGCTTTTGGCACGATGAATGATTTTAAAACCCTAAGTCGGCACATATTTAGCAAAAGGTTGCCGACCTCTACTTTAAAATATACGAATTGCTGCAGAAAGGCATACTGACTGCAACTGTAAACTTATTTTGTAAAGAGGAATGAGCAGATTTTATTTTTCAATGTCTCTTGCTCATCCTAGAAAAATCAAAAATTGAATTGCTAACAAGTTCGATAGTTTTTAGAATGGTCATAGACCAGATTTAGACCTTTTAGAAAACCGGGAAATATTTGACACTTATTTCTGTAAAATGTTGTCCACAAATTTCTTCGCAAGATTTAAACATTTAAAGAAATTAAACGGAAAACTATCCCGTAGGTTCTTTTATGCACCTTTAAGAGGAGAACGG